TAAGTTTTCAGTTCATGTGGGTGAAAACCAAGGAGCTCAGTTGTTGGATTGTATGGTAAGAACATGTTTAGTTTTGTAAGAAACCACCAAATTGCCTTCCAAAGGGGCTGTATCATTTTGCAATTCTGCTAGTAATTAATGAGAGTTCCTTTTTTTATCACATCCTCACCAGCATTTGGCATTGTCATTGTTCTAGATTTTGGCCATCCTAATAGGTGTGTAATGGTGTCTTGTTTTAATTTGCAATTTCCCTGATTACATATGATGTGGAACATACTTTCATAAGCTTATTTGCCATCTGTATATCTTCTTTGGTGAGGTGTCTCTTAGTAACTTTGACTCATTTTTTAAATTGGGTTGTTTGTTTTCTTATTACTGAGTTTTAAGAGCTCTTTATATATTTGAATAACAGTCCTCTCTCAGATGTATCTTTCATGAATATTTTCTCCCAGCCTGTGGCTTGTCTTCTCATTCTCTTGATAATGCCTTTCATGGAGAAGTTTTTCACTTTAATAAAGTCCAACTTATCAATTCTTTCTCTCACAGATTGTGCCTTTGTTGTTGTACCTAAAAAGTCATCACCATACCCAAAGTCATCTAGGTTTTCTCTTATGTTATCTTCTAGGTTTGTTTTTAAATAGTTTTGCATTTTATATATATGTCTGTGATTCACTTTGAGTTACTTTTGTGAAGGGTGTAAAGTCTATATCTAGATTCATTTTTTTGCACAGTTGTTCCAACACCATTTGTTGAGAAGATTCTCTTTGCTCCATTGTATTTCCTTTGTTCCACTGTCAAAGATCAATGAACTTTATTTATGTGGAACTATTTCTGAGTTCTATTCTGTCCCATTAATCTGTCAGTTCTTTCACTAATACCATACTGTCTTGAACTGTATAGCTTAATAGTAAGTCTTGAAGTCAGGTAGTGTCAGTCTTCTAACATTGTTTTTCCTTTTCAATATTGTGTTGGCTATTCTGGGCCTTTTGACTCTCACAGAAACTTTAAAATCAGTTTATCAATAATCACAAAAGAACTGTTGGGATTTTGATTAGGATTGCATTGAATCTATAGATTAAGTTGAGAAGAACTAGTATCTTGACAATATTAAGTGTTCCTATCCATGAACATGGAATATCTTTCCATTTATTTAGTTCTTCTTTGATTTTGTTCATCAGAGTTTTTTAGCTTTCCTTGTATAGGTCTTGTACATATTTTGTTAGATTTATAGGTAAGTAATTTTGGGGGGTACTAATGTAAATAGTGTTGTGTTTTTAATTTTAAATTCCACTTATTCTTTGTTGGTATATAAGAAAGTTATTAACTTTTGTATATTAACCCTGTGTCCTGCAAACTTACTATAATCACTTATTAGTTCTAGGGCTTTTTTGTTGTTGATTCTTTTGTATTTTCTACATAGACAGTAGTGTCATCTATGATCATAGACAGCTTTACGTCTTCCTTCCCAATCTGCCTACATATTATTTCCTTTTCTTGTCTTATTGTATTAGTCAGAACTTCCAGTACAATGTTGCAAATGAGTGGTGAAAGAGGACATCCCTGCCTTGTACTTGATCTTGGTAAAAAAGCTTCAAGTTTCTCACCACTAAATTAGCTGTAGGTTTTTTTAGTAGACATTATTTATCAAGTTGAGGAAATTCCTCTCTATTCCTAGTTTATTGAGAATTTTTATCACGAATGAATATTGGATTTTGTCAAATGCTTCTTTTGTATCTATCATATGATCATGTGATTTTTTTGTCCTTTTTTTAACCTGTTGATGTGATCGAGTACTTTAATTGATTTTTGAATGTTGAACATCACTGCATACCTGAGATAAATCTCACTCAGTCATAGTGTATAATTTTTTTTAGTACATTGTTGAATTTGATTTGCCAGTATTTTGTTGAGGATTTCTGTGTCTCTGTTCATGAGTGATATTGGTCCATAGTTTTCTTTTGTAATGTCTTTGTCTGGTTTTGGTATTAGGATAATTCTGGCCACACAGAATCACCTAGCCACTATTCTTGTCTCTGCTAACTTCCAGAATTTTCAGATTGTATTCTGGCCCTCAAACATATTTCACTTTCCCTCACTAACCGTAACTTTCTTGAAGTCTACTACTTTCTAAAACCCTGTCTCCTGCACGGAATTGCCTTGATCTAAGTGGAATCAAATGTTGATTTCCCATAGACATGCCTTATTTATGCACACAATCATCATACTCTATTCATAATATGTCCTATAATACCGTATCAAAATTCAATGCACACATAATCTTGCAAGATATTACAATTAGGAGAACTGGGTAAAGGGCACGTATAGTTTTTAAACTTCATGTGAATCTACAATTATTTTAAAATAAA